TCGAGGCCCATTTATAGCGAGCCTAGTAAACTAATCTCCACCCTCTTTATAATTTCGGCGAGGCCCAAGCCCATGTTGAATCCCGCGAAGTCCAGCCCAGTTTCTGCATTCAGCTCCCGGATTCCAGAAATTCCTACCTTCACTTGCCGGCGGCGGGTTGGGGAGTCGGTGCCGCGTTTTTATCTGGAGCTGCAAGATCAATACATCAATGGCGTCGGAAGCCTACGCATCGAGAAGCACGGATGAAGTCCACACGGACGTCCTCTTTCAAGCCAGACAAGCGTGCTACAAGGTCCCCATTTTCTCCCCTTCCATCGAGTGAATAGAGATTGTTCCTTTCTGGTAACGAATCTGGTAAAAAATTTGCAGGCTCGCGATGCTTTCTACGATTGTTTGCAGAAGCAATCGGACAAGAAACCGACGGAACTCGGCTGCGTCGGGCTCCTATATCCGGCCGAGTGCAAGAAATCGAGGCTTGCGTACGAGAACAGCTGCCGGCCTTCTTGGGTAAAAATGATCTGAACTGAATCTAAACGCCAGGGATAGTTGAAATTCATTTTTCTCCAATAAAAGAAATTTGAATTGGGAAATTGGGGTTTTTTTTTGTTTGGTGTTTGGTTTGATTAGGTGAAGCATTTCGATCGGCTGTATTGTAAGGAGAAGAGGGTGCAGAGGCTATTGGATGACAAGGAAACCAGGGGAGGTCCGTTGGTACTTCCACAGAAAGGTTAATGAGTTAGTTCTTTGCTACTTCAGAACTGAATCTTCTTACCACTTTTACGATTAGGGGTTTTAGGGTTTTTGGCTATGTGGGTTGTCTCCAAATGCTGTTTCTGTGCATTGGTTCATAGCTGTACATAGCTCAATGCATAAAGATGAGATCTTGTTATGAAGTTTCCAACTTTGACATGGGTTCTTGTGTTGGGATCAGCACGTTTTGCACGAATATGCTGGATACCAGAAAGAGGATGATTGAATAAGATTCTTTTAGTTGGAAGATAAATGTATGGATTCCTTAGGGGATGGTTAATGCTGCCTTCATTAGCTCAAGTTTACTCATTTTTGGCAGGGGTATAGAGCTTGGTTCAGGATCATCGCTATGGTCAAGGTTTGGTATTCAGGTTGAGTTCTGGGCCAAGTAAAGAAGTTCACTGCTTGCTCGCTCGCTCGCTTTGTGATTGTGATATGGTTATATTAACCGTCTCACTCAAACTTAGAACAATGCACTATTGTTCTTGTGGTGATGTAGTGGAACTAAAAAACTGAAGCATGTAGCTGTCGACTGTTGTTCTTAATCGATTTACTGTCTATAGTCTGTGGTTCACACTTGTTTCTGGTCTGATTACTTCTCAATGCTTACTAGAGTAGTCTTTACAAACAGGAAGGAACTTTAGAAACTACCATTTCCAGTTCTGAACTTCAAAGTAGAACCTGAGTTTGAACTTATGAGCAGTGAAACTTGTCTAAAGGTATATATCCCCACAAAAGTCTGGGTAGGTGCTGCTTCAATTCTGTAGGGTTTTCATGAAACTACCCTCTTGAAATTGCTTGAATCTCAAGAGATTGAGGGAATGCTGCAACCTTTCCCTCCATGAATTCTCCTCAACCCCCAGATGGATGTTAGAAAGTCTTGAGAGTAAATTTGTCAACTTTCCCTTTCAAGGAGGCTTTATTATAATGGGGATTTGGTGATAATAATACCAGTCTGAACCTAACAGCTTGTTTTGATTCCATCTGCTGCACTGATTGAGCTCTGATCTTGATCTGATTCACTTTGCCTTGCGAGGAAATGGCATGGGCTTACTACTATAAAGCCTTTTGTTTAATCCCCCATATGCTGAAAACTTTGTGGGGAGCAAGTCACTTAATTCTCCCATGTGCCTTTCTGCAGTGTTAATTCTCATTTCTGAACCTTAAGATCTGCTGCAATTCTTAAACAAATGGTTCCAATTCTGATACACCAAAACTTCATCACATTCTGCCAGATTCATTCTGCTGGCTGAAGGGCTTATCCAAATGACTTTCTTCTTCTTCTTTGAACAGCTTGCCACGTGGGAAGATGGGAGGGGGGAGAGTGACAGGTAGGACAGAGCAAGGTTTCTGATGGAGTGAATCTGTTGTCTTAACCACCTAGTTTGTTTATAATTAGTGGCTACAAATCCAAGCATTGTGGTTAATTAATTGTGATTAGTTGGGGTGGGGTGGGGTTGGAGTGGGGGGTCAAAACATTAAACTAACTGGATATCGGCTTGATGCACGTTCGAGATTTACCTGTCAAGAATCAGTTGCTCCCAATAACTCGAGTTGTTGGGAGAAGATTATGCTGCATCTTATACCATTCTCTAACACGCCCCCTCAAACAAAAGCCAATCCATGAGCTTCAAGTTTGCACAGCCCGCCATACTATGTGCTTGAATACAATGGTTAATATTGAGGGTCGTGGAGATTCAAACACACGACCACTTGTCAAATCAGATCTGATACCATGTCAAGAATCAATTGGTTCCAATGACTCGAATTATTGGGAGCAACTGGCTCATGACAACACCGATCATCATGAATATCTGATAAACGATAATTTTAATATTATCGACAACCACCATAAATTTTTTCATATAATTATGGATTGTGATCCATATGCCTTGACATCCTGAACCACACTATAGTGGTAATTACTAATTACTTCTAACCATGATATCTTATTTTACTTCAGCACTTAGCTTCTCTTTGGAGAAATACATTGGTAAAACGGAACTCCAACCTTCAAGTCTCTTACAGCAGATTGTTTACTCTTTTTAATTACCATGCCTAATAATGGAGATTAGATAGAGATAGGGACCTTTTCCCCTTTGGTGGGTTGAATTGTATCAATGGGATAAATCATCTCAAAGTAGGTAAGTATGATTGTCATCACTTTAATTGGAGCCAAGTAATATATGGCTACAGAACTTCCCTTCTAGCAACTTGAATTACCGGACTTCATAAAAAAATGAGGATGTGTATGATACACAAATTGTTTTGGGTGTTTGTTAAATATAATGAAAAAGGGCATAATAACAACTAATCCACTTATATTTTCCTCTAAATTTGTTTTTATAATAGTCATGACTCATTAGATGAATTTCTGAATTAATACCGTCATAAACCAAATGGTCCAAAAAACTCTAGTTGTTGTGAGAGGTCCATCTATAGTAGTTTGCCACTTCCTTTCACGCCCCCTTAAACGAAAGGGACTCTAGGCTTGAAGTTTACACATGCCTCCTCATATCAAGAGCTTTAAAGACAACGGTTAATATTTGGGGTGTGTGACTCGTGTGAGGACTTGAACACGTGACCTCAAGGATAAATTAGCTCTGATACCATATCATAAATCAACTGGTCCCAATAACTCGAGAGGTTGGGAGAGATCCATATATGCTACTTAATCACAACTTTACAAATACAAAACAATTTCAAAAGAAGTAGAAGTACTAGTAAATAGTCAATGATTTTCTCTCGTAAATTCTCACATTTGATTGTTTATAGTTACAAAGTTTGAAAATTAAGACCGTGTCGAGATAATCAAATTATCGAACTGACAATAATAAATTTATATCCACAACAAGCACTCAAAATTGAAAGTAATTCAATCGGCATGCCCTTGAAAAAAAAAAATCATACGAGAAGACTTCTCGTGAACAATCCAAATTAGTAGGCTGAATCACAACAATTTATCAAACAACTAGTGGACGACATTAGGTAGGTGGTAAGGGGAGTATGCCATATACTAATTGGTTAATTAATTAGTGAATTAACTCTATGGTGTGATTAATCCCCAATTAAATACTATAGTTCGGCGGCAGACCCACTAACCACTCTTTGTTTGAAGTGTAACAAACCCACAAACTTAAATACAAAACCAAATACATACATTCAATAAAGTATGAGCTAACCCTCTAATCTCTTTCTTTTGTAATCTTTATTAGATTCCCTTACTAACTTAATCAACATAAGAAAACAAAACAACAAGAAGAAGAAATTAAGAAGAAAAGGCTTCAAAAGTGACACGCAGTTGACTTAAAATGTAATCCACATGGGACACAATTCTTTTGTTTTTTTTAGGGTAATTTATCTTTCTTCCTTTCCTCCAAAGTTTCAACCAAAACAAGCCAAAGAGTACTCATTAAATCAATCTAATCTCCTATACATAGAATTATCACCCATGGTCTTTGATGGAGTCTAGCTCTTTAAGTGTTGACCACCTTGTGTGTTGTTTCTAGTTCTTTGTCATCGTTCAAACTTTATACAATCAAGTCACATCGTATACTGTTGTTATTGTTAACTAACTGTTGTTTAGGTTTGTTTATGAACCGTTGTTTATTCAAAACACATATTATTTCATGTGATCTTGGTTCAATAAACACATTTGATTTCATGGAACCATGACTAAAAAAACAACGGTCCTTATTGTCAAGAACCAGTTGATCCCAATAATTCGAGAAGGCTCTGATACCATGTCAAGAACCAGTTGATCCCAATAACTCGAGTTATTGGGAGAGGTTCAATCGTGGATCATATACCACAACACTAACACTTATAATCCAATTGATTTCGCGTGATCAACACAACTTCTATGTCTCGGATCCAATGATAGACACGTGAACTTATACAAAAATTAAAACCCTGCCAAATCGAAATCAATTTTGACCTAATGCAATCCTAGGTTCCTAACCAACACACATTCCACAACTAATCTTTCTCGCTTTCTAATAGATGCATCTACACTACAGCTGCACAAAAGAATGAGCAGGAAGAAAAAATCGAAAATCAATAGGTCTTGAACCATAAAATCAATTCTTAGATAGACAAACATATACTAATACTAAGTAAAAACATAAACAAGAATAATAGGTAAAAAAAATCAATAGGACTTGAACCAACCAGGACAAAATTAGTACTACCCCGCCTTAGCTTTTAAGACCACTAAACCAATAATTCATTGTACCTTCAACAACTAATGTCACTATACTTAATTAGCACAAACGAGTTATTTGGAATCCTTCAACAAACGAGGCCGGAAATAACAATTTTATTAGTAATCCAACTCGCTATAAAATTGATTTTTAAGTACATACACGATAATTAGTTTAATTAATTAATCATGATGTAGTAAACCTCTTTTCCTCCCTAAAAAAACAAAAGAAAATCCCTTCTTCTCCTTCTCGGGATCTGGTCGAATCTTGTCTTTTTTTGGTAACCGTAGTGGTCTTGTTGAAATTAGAGCAAAAAGCAAAATACAACATAAAATACAGAATAATAAATTTTAAAAAAGCGGTTAGCTAAAGCTCTATACTAATTAATAATTAAAATGTAGAAAACAAAGTCTAAGCAAATACGACGTCGTGCATCCCACTCATTCTCCGTCAGTCAATTCGACCCCTTATTTCCGTAGACTTCGTCAACGTTCCGTTTGCAGAAATCAGAAAAGTGATAACCCGTTCCGTCCATCCATCCACGTCAGACTACACTAGTCTTTCGCAGTCGCACACGTCATCACCACTTCCCGTCTCCGTCCGTCTCCTTCCCTCCTTTTTTTTTTCTTTTTTTATTTACCGGATAAAAGTCCCCTCGAAGTCAAGAGTAAACGGCGTGAGGATCACGGCTTGGTAGCTGACGTGGAGTCCTTGACCGCGACGTCCCCGCCGGTGAGGACCGACAAGTTGGGCGACGAGGGCTGGTTGCGACACGTGGCGGTGGAGATGGCGGTGGCGAGGGAGATCGGCATGAGGCAGAGCCCTTTCCCTTGTAGGTACTGCATCGCCGAACCCATGTCCTCCTCCATCAGCTTCGCCACCTGCTGCTCCGTCATCGTCATGCTGCTCTCGGACCCGCCGCCGTTCGCCGGGTTGCTTCCTCCGTTGGCCTGAATGCAGTCTCCGCCGCCTCCCTGCCAAAAGGGGAAAAGACAGAACGCCGGCGAAAATTATTAAAAAGGGGAAGAAGAGGAATCTGAAAAAGAGGGAAATGGAGGGGGCACGCGTGCTGCTTTTCCTTTTGTCGTTTTCCGGCTGACGATATGAACACAAGGACTGTTTTTTTTTTCTTTTCTGATTTGAGTGCAAAAACAGAGAAAAAGGCGAATGTCGGGTAAACTAAAAAACATAATATATAAATATGAAAAAAAAAACAGGTAATTGGAATCAATTTGTAACCATATATTTTATTTTTAGTACGATATTTATGTTATTTTGACATCGTTACACGAATATACTGCTAGGTCGTAGCAACGAGATAAAATAAAACGAGATTTTCGTTGGAAGTGACGAAGTAGGGGATTACCTCGGAGGACATGTCGTTGGTGACGAGAGGAGCGATGGCGCCGGCACCACCGAGACGACTCATGCTAAGTACCTATAAAAAGAGGGAAAATAGAAGAATAATAAAGTTATAATTAGTTAATTGTTGGGTAATTAAAACTTAAAAGAGGATGGGAGAAATTAAATTTTAAAGTTAATTACCTTGACTTGGAGCTGGAGGAACTTGACATAGTCGATGATCTCGTCCAGCATTGAGGCCTTGTCCGTCTGTCATTCCCCCACAAAACCAGATCAGAATCGTTATTAATCTCTTAATTAATCCTTAATTGTCAAACTAATCCACTGAAATATATATATAAAAATATAACTAAATCATCATTTGATTAATTTCCCACTGATAATTCTCTCTCCCCCGACCAATCCGCCGCGCATTGCGGCCCCCTGATCTCAATTTTCTGTTCTGATGGGACCCACCTATCAACTCCCATCCCGTAATTAAGAACTAAACACACACAAAAAAACCTAAATCCCTCCCGCCTTCTTACCCACTTGACACGTGTCCATCATTATTCTAGAGAGTCATTTTATGCAACTAATGATTTAAGATCTAATATCATTCTAACTCAATACGAAATTAGGGAGACCGATAATTTAAGATAATCGATTTGAAATGATCAATGAGCATTTCGATACAATTTCACAGACATAATTAGATCAAAATCGACGATATATTTCGGTGAATTTTTACCTTGTTGGCATTGGGAACCAGCTCCTGCAGCGACTTCATTCTCTCTGCAATTCTTTCCCTTCTTAACTGTACACATAATTATCATTTTATATGATTAATATTGATTAATTAAGTTAAAGTTCCACCTCTGTTTGTTTCCCAAGAAAACAGAGGAAATGGAAGAAGAAGGAAAAAACTTACCCTTTCAGCTATACTGTGGGGATCGGTAGCTTGGCCTCTCCTAGCCCTGACCCTCGGCTTCCCCTGCGACGCCGTCGCCGCCCCTCCCGTTGACCCGCTCGCCTGCGGCTGAGCTTTCCCCGGCGAAGCAGCGGCGCCGGACTGTCCTCCTCCTGCGCCGAAGCTCTGTCCAGGTTGCATAGCTCCTCCCCCGGGCCCCTGCATATATAATCAATGACTCAAAACAATTTTTAATCAAAACGTTAAACCAAATTACTTTTTTTATTTTATAATCACATATCTAGTCTCTATATTACCAACGCAATCAATCGACGTAATCAGTGATGAAGCTAGGCTGAAGATATGAGGGACCATAGTCCGTCTCAATTTTGAAATACAGGTAAAATTATATTTAAATTTTGTTTGAATCATAATGTTTTAGCTCTATTTTTCTAATTATCACAATTCAAAATAATTTTTCTAGTTCAGATTTCTGACTTCGTAGCTGCTGCTGAACGTTACAAAACGATTAAATACGTGCCTGAGTAGCAGGATGGTGGAAATGCTGCTGGGGCTGGATAGATCCGGATCCGAACCCGTTAAACAGCGAAAGGGGAGCTCCGTCGCCAGCGGCGGCGGCGGCGGCGGAAGCCATGAGGAGCTGCTGCTGAAGCATCATCTTGTTGTCGTTGTTGTTGGTAGCGCCGCCGTTGATCTGGTGGTGGCGGAACTTGGAGGCGAGGTTGATGGCGGCGGGGTCGTCGTTGAAGAACCCATTGTTGTTGTCGTCGTGGGTGGAGTCTCCGGCGGCGAGGTCGGCCCAGGGGGACTTGATGAGGTCGGCGGCGGCGGCGGAGGACCAGGGGGAGGAGGCGGCGGAGGAGAGGATCTGGTCGAGGAAGTCGTCGGCGGAGGCGGAGGAAGGGTCGAAGTGGTGGGTGTGGTGGCCGCCGTGGATCTGGTGGAGGTCGTGGAGTTGGAATTGGTGGGAGGGAGTTGTCGTCGTCGGGGAGTTGAGGCCGCCGGCGGCCATTTCTCTGCTGCACGGCTGCATTTTTTCTTGTGTTTGTGGTTAGAGAGAGAGATAGAGAGATAGGGAGAGAAAGCAGTTTAATAAATAGCAAAAGTGGAGCTTCTTTCGATTTCTTCATTTGTTGTCCTCTGCCTTTTTATAATTGTGTTTCCTCTTCCTTCTTTCACTAGGGTTTTTTAATGTTATTTTTCCTCATCTATGGCCCAATTGTTCACCCTCCATTCCCTCGAGTCGGTCTCACTCTCTAGTCAAGTGTTTTTCTTTGAAAATTCCAATTCGATTCAGTACGAGCGTTAACACGTGCTTACAGATTACTTACCTGTTTTTGTTCATTTCAGGTTTACGATTGAATGCAATGATTATATGACGTGTTACAATAACTTAAAATTTATCCTTACTTTTAGTGGCATCACGAACATTTAATTGCCAAACAAGATGATTGGTAATTGGTATGAGGTGTCCTACGCCCATCCATTAAATATGGTAGCCACATTTATGAAAACTAGTGCAAAACACACGTACATATTAAACTCGACGTAAGATGATGAATCAGACCGGGACATGGATCACAAGAGTAACTTTTATGTACTACACAATGAATATTGTTGTACTTGCTTCTTGCATCATATTTCATTTCTTACTTGATAGATCCAATCGTCTTAGTTTGGAAACTTGATTGACCCATAATGGAGGATACGGACTCAAATGGCCAAAATGAAGAAGTATGGGGGCTTAATCATACTCTTCTTGCCGTAAATAGAAAGAGAAAAAGTGAGCAGAACGCGCCACCGGAGAGAGTGGGGAGGAAGAAGGGAGGGCAGACGGCGGATCATCAATCGGCTAAAACTCAGGGGCGGCCGGCGGCCGGCGGCCAAGTTCCGAGTTCCCTCTCGTTTTTCCTAATATATATATATATATATATTTTTTTTTACGGAGGGTGGGAGCTGGGGTAAATGTCCGAATTAACCCTGTGGAAAATGGGCGGTTCCCACGCTTGTAATCCGTTCTGTTGCAACTAAATCTGGAGAGTGGAGAGATTAATAATTAATTTACTTTTCTATGTAAGATATTACTAATTGTTAATTAAACTGAATCCGTTTAAAGTTGAATAATTGATAATTGGACTCAAAGGTTCCAAAAGGCCTCTTAAATTTACACTTAGATGGTAGGTAATGTCAAAAAATCTCGTCTAACGATTTCATAATGAGAGGAATTTAGAACACATCAACGTAATACGCGAACACCTAGGTGTCATCTAGTGTTATTGGACGAATTTAGGCGGTTAATATAAAATTGAGAAAATTAACATCATCTACAAACTCCATCTTTTCTCTTAATCTTTAATTAAAAAAAATCAACAACTTTGCGAGCTATTGGGTTACGTTTCTGTGAACTTCTGAACTAATTTTCTTATTGTTAAGTGTTAAGTAAGTTATTACTTACTCATCATTTAGTACAAACACCTATTTTTTCCTCCAATGTCCAAGTACGCTTAGGCAACGCCTAGACAAGTTAGACGTTAGATAAGACCCCAACTTCGAGCTTAAAATTTCTCAATTATTCTATGGAAATGATTCCCTCTTCTTTGGGATATGTAATTATAATTTATATAGATAAGCATGGGATTATAAATTTATACACATGTGCAGTATGCTTCTAGGAGTCAAAGCTTATTAGCTTCAATTTAATTTAATGCATTCGTATCAAAATTCTGATCATCTCATATTTTCCTCAACTTAAATATGCATGTGGATATTTATAGAATATACATGCATGTGGACATGTCCTTTGCCTTTTTTTTATTATTACAAAAATTCCATGATCAATTAGCTAGTTATACATCAATGCATTAATGTGATTCAACAAAGTTTAATGTTATATATATTTTTTTTTTGCATATGAGGAGGCCCGTGGCCGAAGAAGACAGAAAAAAGGGGGGACAAGCAGAAACAGAAGGGCTACAGGGAGGGGTCTGGAGAGTTCACTACAATGTTCCTCAGAGTTGTACTTCCCCGTTGATCATCCTGAAGGAGAGGAAGAAGCTCTTGCGGTGGTGAATCCAATTCATGCATACCGAAGGGATAGACGAGACTGTGCTTCGAGAGCCAGTCCGCGACTCTATTCCCTTTCCTGTATACATGTACCAGATTCACCACCCAGTCTTGGGTGATCTTTCTCCGGATCGCTGTGAGCAAAGCTGCATACGGGTGCAAGGGGTCCATTATGTTCTTCACCAACTGGATGGCTAGTTGCGAATCTGTTTCGATGATGAGGGCTCTGTATCCAAGATTCCATCCCAACTTCAACCCATGGTAAATCGCCCACAGTTCTGCCAAAGCAGCCGAGCACGACCCCAGTCTCGACACAAAACCTCTCACCCAACTGCTACTGTCATCTCGAATAGCACCACCTGCCCCTGCTAGGCCTTGGTCTCCCTTGGCTGCTCCATCCACGTTAATTTTAGCCCACCCCGCCGGGGGAGCCTTCCAACCGACCTCTGTCAGAACTCGATCCTGGGCCGGCTTCAATCTTCCAACTAAAGGGGAGGGGGCGTTCCAGGCCTGAGTCCACACGGAAGCTCTGATCTTGATGGATTGCGTCAGAGAGGAGGCAGAAAGTGTCTTGTTCTCCCCTTTGAAGACAACTTCGTTTCTGTTCTTCCACAAGCACCAGAGAGCAATGCTAAAGAAGGCATTCCAGGGTACTCCGTCCATAGTAGCCTCCTTGGAGGCGAGATTCTGATGCAGCCAAGTATCCCAAGAAAGGCTAAAAAACTCCTGCTGTGCTCCTCCTGGGACTGTGCGATGCCATAAGAAGGCTGCTGGGGGACAGTTGCGGAAGATGTGCTCTAAGCTCTCCTCCTGGTTGGCGCACCTGTAGCAGGAACCACCATCACTTAGGTGTCTTCTCACCCGCATCTCGTTCGTGGTCACCCTTCCCTGCTTAACCAGCCACATGAAACATCTAACCCGTTCCGGCACCGGGAGGCGCCAAATCGCCTTCCACCCCTGTTGACCTTCGAAGTCCGGAGCTCCTTGCTGCAACACATAGGCGCTCTTGGTTGAGAAACGACCATCTGCTGTTGGTTTCCAAAAAATCTTATCCGTCTCCATCGCCAAAGGGTCTACAGCCTGAGCCATGATCTTCTGTATGATCTCAGGAGAGAGTAATGACTCGAACTTCTCAATCAGCCAATTCCCCTCCTCATCCACAAAATTAGCGACCGTGAGCTGCCGGTCTTCCTCCGTGATCGGCCCGGTTGCAGCCTCGTAGAGCGGTCCCTGCAAAATCCAAGGATCAGACCAAAACTTAGTTTGTCTTCCTGAATGAACATTCCAGGCACATCCCTGCCTAAGCAGGTTGGCTGCTTTAGTAAAGCTGGCCCAGGTAAAGGAACTTCCCTGCATAGGTTTAAGCATATCCAGATGTTGCCTGTTTCCTCCATATTTCGCTCTGACCATCTGCACCCACAAGCTATCTTTCTCCTGGAGTAAGCGCCATCCACTCTTGGCCAGCATGGAGATGTTCACTTCTCTTGTCGACCGAATGCCAAGTCCTCCATTGCTTTTGGGTAATAACAACTGAGGCCACCCAACCAGATGAAGTTTCTTCTGGCTGTCCGTGTCTCCCCAGATGAACCCCCGGTTAATCCGATCTAGAGTCCTGCAAATATTCACAGGAAGAAGTTCCGTGTGCATAGGATAAATGGGAATAGAAGAGGTAATGGATTTCACCACCGTGATACGAGCTGCTAGCGAGAGATGCCTGGACTTCCATGGAGCAAGCTTCCTTTGGATTCGCAGCACCAGATCTCGATACCGAGCTTTAGTCACCCTCCCATGAATTGCCATGACTCCCAGGTACCTGCCCAGATCCACTGTGAGAGGAATATCAGCTCTGTGAGACAAGCGTCGGGCTTGTCTTCTGTCTACATTGGCTGAAACAAACATAGCGGATTTGTTATAGTTCACTCTCTGCCCCGAGCTGTGGCAGAACTCGTCCAGGCATTGCTTGATGATCCGAACCTGGGACCCTCCTGCCTCTGCAAAAAGGATAAGATCATCTGCAAAAAACAGGTGAGATATCGTAGGGCCCTCTTTGGAAAACCTCAGGGGTTTCCAAAGTTTGTCCTCAATAGCCTTGTCAATCCTGTGCGACAAACGCTCCATGCAAAGAACAAAAAGATAGGGTGAAAGAGGATCTCCCTGGCGAACACCCTTGGTAGGCGTGATCGGGGCAGACAGATCACCATTCCACAGCAACCTCATTCTGTTATGTTCTACACAGAACATAATGCAGTTGATCCAAGTGCTAGGGAGTCCAACCTCCTTGAGGGTATCTCGAAGGAAGTCCCATCTCAAGCGATCATAGGCCTTCTCAAGATCGATCTTTATCACAAGCCCCCCTCTCTTGCCCTTCTTTTTCCTGAGAGAATGGAGCACCTCCTGCAAAACAATAATATTATCCGTGGTTTGCCGCCCTGGGATAAAGCTACTCTGTCTCGGAGACACCAGTTTCCTCATGATGGGCTTGAGCCGGTTAGTGATTGCCTTGGTGATAGCCTTCAGACACACATTGTTTAGCGAGATCGGACGTAACTGGGACACCATCTCCGGCTGATCCACCTTAGGAATGAGGACCACGGTCGATTCCACCACTTCCTCTGGCAGGGTCCCAGTGGAGAAGAAATTAAGAGCCATCTCACAAAGGGCTTTCCCGACCACCTGCCAAGAATTTTGATAGAAGATGGCTTGGAAGCCGTCAGGACCTGGAGTTTGAAAGGGTTTCATATCATGCACTGCTCTGTAGATGTCCGTTTCCGCAAAAGGACGCAAAAGAAGGAGGAGATCCTCTTGCGACAGCCTCGGGAAAGCATGAGTAGGCATAGCATCCCTATAATCATGATCATCCTGTAAATAAAGAAGAGAAAAAAAGTCAAAAACCAAAGCAGCCAGTTTCTGAGGGTCAGAAATCCACTCCCCGTTGCTGTCCTTCAGGCTTCCAATCTTATTTCTCCGTCTCCGAATGATCGCTTGCTGGTGAAAGTAGGCCGTGTTCCGCTCGCCAAACTGGACCCACTTTTCTCTAGCCCTTTGAAACCATATGATTTCCTCTTGCTCCAGCACTTGATCTAGCTCCTTCTCCAGCTTAGCTTGAAGTTTAAAGAGTCCCGGAGAGTAAGCATTGGCAATTCTCGGCTGAATGCCATGAATACGGCTGAGCAGTCTCTTCTTTTTTTGCAGAACATTCCCAAACATGGATCTATTCCACTCAGTAAGATTCTCGGCCAAGCTCTTCAAGGCGTCCTGGAGCGGAGCTTGCCCATTCCAATTGCTTGAAAGGAAACCTGCATAAGAATCATGCGTTAGCCAGGCTCCTTCAAACCGAAAAGGGCGGGAATAAGATGAGTGGCCTCCCTGGTTTCCAATAGAGGTTAAAATCGGATGGTGGTCCGAATGCAGCCTAGGAAGATGGCGGACAGTAGTGTTAGGAAAGGTGGCGTTCCACGCAGCATTGCAGAAACTTCTATCCAACCGGCTGGCTTTATACTCATTGGGCGGCTCTCCTCTGGTCCACGTGAACCGTGGACCTGAATATCCCAGATCAATGAGCTCGGTTTGCTCAACCCTGTCGTTGAAGCGCTTGCATCGCCGGAACACAAAACTAGTAATCCTACCCGCTTGCTCCGAGGGGGAGAGGATAGCATTAAAGTCACCGGTGAGGAGCCACTGGCTTTCACAATCTTCCTTCACCTGGCCGAGAGCCTGCCACAAGTAACGCTGCAGCTCTTGCTTTGGGCTAGCATACACTGCTGTAAGAAGAAAGGGTGGCGCATACTGCGCGGTCAGTCTCACGGTCAACTGTTGGAAGCAAGCTGAGACCAGCTCAATCGAGAACGCTCGGGCATCCCAGCAGAGCCAAATGCCTCCCTTCCTCCCCTCGGCCTCCACGCGCATGATATTGGGAAAGCCCATTCTCCCGCAAACCCTGTCCACCACCTCGCCACTAATCTGCGGTTCCAACAGAATCAAAATGTCAGGCTTGTAATTCAAAACAATGAGCTTCAGAGATCTGATGAAGGCGCTGCTTCCAGCTCCTCCTACATTCCACGAAAGAATATTAAGATTAAACTTATTAGCAACAGACATTAAAATGCAGAGGTAAAAACAAGAGGGGAGAAAAGGAGAGAGGCAGCTGCGAAAATCCGCAATCAAAGCTGCGGCTGCTGCTCCGGGACCGACGGGCCACATGTCTCCAACACATTAGCGACCTCCACAGGGAGACCACCACTCTCATCTGTTTGCCCAGATTTTGCCGCACTCGTCCAAGCCGCAATCTCCTGGAGCGTCAACGTCGCGAGCCTTGATCTGGATTTGCCCTTCTTTTCTTTGACCGGGGTCCATATTTGCAACGCCTTGGCTGCCACTTTCGTCGGTGTCTTGCGAGGAGATTTCCCCTTCTTCTTCTTCGCGGCGCTCTGCTTTCTCATCCGGGATGACGCCGACGGGGAATCACTTTGGGAATTCAATTCCTTCTGCTGATCGAGGGACGGGACGACCACGACTTGGATTGTCGTTGAATTTGGGCCGACAACCTTCTGGATGGGTGGTGGTTGTGGTAGCTTTGGTTGGCTGGGATTTTTAGTTGCTGACGGGCCTCCAACCACTTTAGGCCTAACGACAGGAGATGGCGCCCCAGCTCCCTTGCTCCGAATAATTATGGGCCCTGAGGATGGGCCGGCCTTTGAAGCTGGATTTGGCCCAAGCACTCCTTTCCCCCCCGTGGCCTGATCCGCCATCGCAAACCCCATTTTCTCTTTACCTTTTCTGCTCCCAGCCCCAGTCGACTTTCCTTCCTCGTTCAATCCCACCCGCGCGGCCTCGCCTCTCCGATCAGCACCTTCCTTAGCCCTCCCTTAAGACCGTTGTGGCTTTCCATTTCCTGTAGAGGGTTCTTTCCTTTTCCATTTTTCCAAATCCCGGATGACTCCCCATGATTAGCGTTCAGGTTTCCCTTTTCTCCATTCCGATTCCCTCGCCGAGATTTCCGTGAAACCTGCATCCATGGACCAAATCCTTGCTTCTCCTCCGACACCGTCTCCGGCCAGGCTTCCGGTGACCCAGGCCTCGCTTCCCCCGCCGGCGGCTGAGACTTGGCAACCAGAGTCGGGCAGGTCAACGTCGTATGCCCAATCTTACCGCACTCAAAACAGCACACCGGCAGGTTCTCGTACTCAATGTATTGCCACTTCCCGTCCAGCCGAATTCTTGTGACCAGCGGTCTGGAGAGATCGAGTTCCACCGCCATCCTAGCGAACTTAGCTCGTTGTTGATGTTGCGTATGAAAGTCAAGCTTGATAGCCCTACCCACCATGTTTCCCAATGCGAAAAGAATTTCCTTATGATAAAAGTGTACTGGGAGGGCCGGGAACTGAATCCAAACGACCATGGATCTCGGCAGAGCATCCGTGAGACGGAAGTCGGGTGTCCACTGGAAAACGATCAGGTAATGATAAAAAATAACCCATGGTCCTTCTGTTAATACCATGAAGTAGTAAGTATCGTTGTTAAATTTAATCAAGAAGCATTCCTGACCGAGGGCGAGGATCTCCATGGTTCCCGACGGCCGCCATAGGTATTTGACATTATTGCTGAAAGTTGGGAAAGACATACTCAGACCCAACACTCGAACAACCAGAGTCCTCTGCCATGGGACACATAGTTTCTCTTTAAAACCCGTTGAGATCTTCAGCTCCGGCTCCCCGTTAAAACTCCCTGTTATCAGGTCATGCTCGCCAACCGGAGTCCAGGAGATCATTTTTTGCGCAGCCACCGCACTAGTTCCTGTTACGGCATTCGCGTAGGACAGGGGCTGTGAGCTAGGCTGTTGGGTACCTGTTGTCGGCGGCGGGCTCTGTTCGATCACCATCGTTGTCTCGTTAGCCTCCAAGGGAATACCTGGGGCACTAGTGATAGCGGCAGAGCAGATCGTCATTTGCGTGTCACCACCCTCTTGCGGAGGATGAGGAGGATCCGACGGTCTGTCTGAGTGATTCAGTTCGGCCGCCGGCGAGAGACCCAGAGGTTCCATTCAGAGAAAAAGGGTGTGTTTTGATAGATGCTTTCACCATCAAGTTTAATGTTATATGATTATGTTATGTTTCTGCTATTGCAAAAATATTTAATATCCATGGAAAACTAGTTGGTTCTCCTAATTTGAGTTATTTAGAGATGTATAAGTATGAATCCTGTATCATTCCTTTACAAATCCCCTCAAAAGAAAGTCGGCCTGGCGAGCTTGAAAATTTTGTAGTCCTACCATATCTTGTGGTTAATCAACTATTGATATTGAAGACCATGAAAAATATTCAAACACGATACTTTTCAATTTAAAATCCCGATTTCATTAATTAATCACAATAATTTGAGTTGTTGAAAATGACATAAGTATATATCTTATGTAAATTCTTATTTTAATACAAATTCTTCGTGCATTGGCCAACATGAATCTATATAATGGACACCTACCCTATCCTCAAAGTAGTTTCTAATAGTTAACTTTAGAAATCACTCGTTAGAATGTGTCGGATAATTCTTTCAAGTTAAAAAGAAAACATAATTTATGGTGTGTTAGTACAAAGATGTGTTGGTTACAATAATTGTAAAATCATATCGGAGATTGTACCGTCAAAGACTTCCCCTAACATTGTTATGGCCAAATGTGGATTCCATCCCATCTTATACATGTTTCAAAAACTAAGTTCAGTGTATCATATATCTTCCCCATTATTCACTTATTGAACACACTAAAAAATGTTATTGAAAAGGTTGAAAAATAATTTATCATTAATTATAAATTAGCTCAGTCACAACCTAACACATTCATATGATGAATTAAAAGGATCGAATGTGAGAATTTTCCTACAAGTCCCCTTTTGGTATATTCGGGATAATAAAATTTAATGCTTGTTTATTGTATATCCAACTCATACACCAAGAATAATCGCCGGCCGGCTTATTCACCCACCAACCAACAATGGAATGTCGTCTGTTTCCATGTCTCTCCTCGGGAGCTTGGAATGGTTCCAATTCGGTTTTCTTTGCCCCCAACTGGTCTGTATATAACTCATAAATGAAAGTCTAGGGACGAGCATGGCTCGGTTTAGAATCGACCTGGATGAAAAGAATGAGGACTAGAGATAAATTATGTAAGGGGTCCGGTGGCAATGGAATTCAAATCGAGACTTTTCGAACAACTCTAATTATTGAAATGAATTGGCATGCATTCGATACTAATGGGATAAATGAATGATATACAAGAATGATCTTTGAACATCAATCTCTCGAGAATTCAAGAAATGATTTTGGGGTCGAATCGTCTGATAGCTTACGATTGTTGAAATTGATGTATTTTGTATGTATATAAGGGTCAACAACCGTTTCTCTAGTCCGCACTTGATAAAAAACGAACATTTGGACTTACTCATACCGAACAAAATATAATGAGGTCTGGTCCTAATTAATCAAGTCCCTTGAATATTAATCTAAATGTTAAAGAAACAACGGATTGAATCGATGTTCGGCCGAGACCAAATCGGAATGCGTGCGTCTAGTTCTAATCCTTCTGAATGTTAAAAGAAACAACAGACTAAATCGTTGTGTGAAGCACATGATATGCGAGCCTGTGCAAACTTCAAACACTCCTCTCTTCAAGTTTAAACAAGACCACAAGCTAGCCACCATGCACGTGTGGGTATCATCTTACTAGAGGAAAATGCCCCACCAGGCACCAGGCGACGTGAAATTTTCAAGAGAAACCCTTGTTCGCTTTCTAATAAGTCCGAAAGACGCATAGTATACAGTCTTTAGCGACGGAGGAGATAGTAGTTTATATGGTTGCTAATAAAGAAGTGAATGAACTCTCTAAATAAGGATGATAATTCTATTCGTAATCATGAATATTCATCCCTCTCCGACTCAGTCAATTAGGAAAATCCATGCATTAGTGGTGATATGAGTTTAGGTGCCTCCATTCTCATACAAATACTCGTCCCACACTCAATGGTCAATCCTAATACTACATAAAACCAATTACATGTCATCTTATCCCATTCTCCATCATCCTCCACCAAAATTTGAAAAGAATACAATTATCAACTCCTTACTTCCACTTTCATAAATCTATCAATACATATACATCACCATTCATCCTAGTTTCCACAAATACTTTATATTTTTGTTGTGTTTTTTCAAACTACTTGTGATTATTCTCATACACATACTTGACCCACACTCTCATATGCTCATGAAGTTCTCATTCTAACCACTACCAGATTTAACAATCCATCACGTCACATTCCGTACCTCGAGCAACTAATTATCCAAACAATCGACAAAATCAAATGTAACAATATATTTACACAATAAAAAATATGTCACATCTTATCGTAAGGTCCGGTCATCAAAACGACCCATTAAATTTTCCAAAACACTTGATTAAAAAGTGGCTTTGATCACTATCCGTGACTGGCTAGCCAACTTGGAAGATGTTTATAAGAACAATGATCACGCATCTAGCTTTGCAATTTGGCAGGGCATACATATATAATTAGCCATTCAGAAGCAGATTAGAAGTAAAAAAAAGGCTAAAAATTGTAGGCAGGTGTCCTTGTCTTATACTTTGGGAAAAGCCATTCTTTTTTGTCTTAAGAGATAGGGCTCTCCTCCTTTACAACTTAACCTATCAACACCACCTACAATGTATATACTACCAATATAATTACAAAGACACCTACTTGTCTTCTTAGGATATAGGAAGCGATGTTCCTCAATCAAGTGCTTTTTCTTCTTTCCCCTCCTATGATTAATTAGTTATAATAATCGATCATTACATGCTTTAGGAGTGTGTATGTGTATCTTTGCTCAGAAGAAACCTCTATGAAACCTATGTATTTATCATTTTATCTATTGCTATTTCTCAAAAGGTGATATCTTTGAAAGTATAGAGCATCTCTTCAATACATTAGATGTTACTAAATGCTATAAACTCCGTAATTGAATCTTTTTCAATAACTCGAGTTATTGAGAAAAATTAATTTTGAATATGGTATAAAATTTTCGTTGATCAAGAGATTTTCTAAATGAATTTCGACGATCCCATTTGTTAAGCATGTGATATTCACTATTCAGACCTTTGCTAACTTCAAATTAATATGAGTTGTCTTTTTTTTGAAGAGGCGTATTAGTAAATAATATAAGATTCATAATTTAATTTCTTTAGTAAACCAAGTTATTGGAACCAGTTGGTTCTTGTTAGAGATAGATAAGGAATAATCTTATATTTCCTTGTCCTTATAGTATAGTTCTTAGTATTACCGTGTTCTTTTAGTATTGTGGTTCTCTTACTTATTGTCCAAGTCTTGTAAACTTTATAAACCCCTTTGTAATTTCATAATAATACACACTACTATTCCTAAAACTCGTATAGTTCTTAACATTAGATCGGTTCATTTGGCACAATGATGAGATGCTAATTACAGTGAGTAGGCGATTGACTTCCTAAGATAATTATCACTTAGATAAAAATCTCGCTCGCTTCAACATTTCTTCCCCAAGTATTATAACTATCTCTTAAATAAAAATCTTGATAATTTTTCTCACTTTTATAATGAATTTCTTAAAAAAAAGTAATATCGAAATTTTAAAAAAAATAATTTTATATCAAGAAATTTATACATAATTATCCAGGAAGGGTGGAAATGAATTTTCCCATACTGCACATGAATAGATTTTGGCATATCATTTTACATTCACACAATTACTTTTGATTTTATGGACCAACACAATTTTAAAACCATGATTCGACGATAATCTTTAGAAGAACCAATCCCTCATCCTTAACTTCCCATGAAAAGAACAAACATCCTTTAACGTATAACTCGAGGAAACACTTATTTGACCTCGACAACTAAATAAAGGCCAAACTGCAGCCGATTATTGATAATAGGCAGGCCTCCATGTCAGCAGGAAAGAACCCAATAGGCAATATATTGTTTTTTCCCTGAAAATTCTGACCTTAGTTGATGGGTTGTTGGATTGTTTTGAAAATGTCATCATCTGTCTAGTCCAATAACTTGTTGGGCTTACATGATATTGGTGGGTGGGTTGGGCTTAAATACGGGCTGGGCTCAAATGAGGCAGCAGCAGGATATCATCGATCACAAATATTTTTTAAGGACCCTTCTCAGTTCTCATCTCATTTCATCTCAACGTAACTCGGGATGGCAACAAAACCCGAACTCACGGGTACCCACCCGACCCAATCCAGTCAACGCGGGTAAAATTCGTGTTGACGGGTTTTGGGTCGGGTTTGGGTTTAAACCCGTTCACTATTCACCGGGTTGGATTTGAGTTTAGGTAAACCCGACCCATGGGTACCCGCCCACACCC